TGTTTCTGAAAATAATCGGTATTTAGTGCGCGACTTCGCTTCGTTTCGCGTGCCCGCGCGCGTTGTCGCGGTTTCGCGGACGACGCTACACACGTTTGCGGCCGGCGCGTTTAATATGTTGCCGTTGAATGCCTGAGAAGGGAATAATCTGAAGGGCACTGGACGTCGTGAAAAAATAAATAAATAACAAAAAGGATAAGAGGAGAAAAGAAAATTGCACCGATCCCGCGAAGTCGTGCAATCGGTTTTGCTTAACGTTCGTTAACGACGTAATAATAAATAACAAGGAGATATTTCCGCATACACGAGGAAGATATCGAGTTTGTATTTAGGACTGACGACGATTGTTAATTGTGGAATAACTCGACGAGTGTTCGCGCTGCTGCTGCTGCTGCTGCTGCTTCTTCTTCTTCTTCTTCTTCTTCTTCTTCTTCTTCTTCTTCTTCTCGGAAGGGATCCCATTATGTCCGCCGGTCGCGAAGCGCCTCGCTTCTCCGGCACCACAACGGAGCGCGTCCCGGTAGCGTTAAATTCAAATTAACAAATTAGATATCCCCACGCAGTGGACGCGCCATCTTAAACCAACAGCGACTCCCGAGCGTGAAGATATTTAGTAAGCACATTCGTCGTACGTTCTCGCCGAAACGCATTAAGATAAACAAATTAAATTTCCTCGGCCGCGAGCGTATCTCATGCAGCCTTCTTCGGACAACATCGTGAGAGTGTATATTTAATAAAGAACACTCGCTGAATTTCATATTAGATAATTTGATGCTAACTATAAAACGATCTTTCTTTAATTACTTCAATTCGTTATGCCGCGTTCGAGGTTTAATGAATTGAGATGTAAGAAAATAATTAAAGATCCGCAAAAACATCCGCTTTTTGAGACTTGTTTACTTTGCCGTGTTCGTGCCGTATGTTTTAAAAAATTATTAGTTGCGGTAGTTGCATTCTCGATGTGAAAATTCATTATTACAACGGTTCTATCTTTACGGATAACGGCAGAGAAATGGCAGCACTTTTCGCAGAACGCGCATACGTTTCAGTGAGAAAATTTATTCTCTAAAAATCACCGGTGAATATTATCGTATCAAATATGGACGTGCGGCGAAGCACATTGGAAAATATTTTCAATAATTTTGTAACTTTCCTGCCACAGATACATTTCTATATTTTATCCGCACGTCTCTTCTGGTCGCGACTTTATTGGCTATCCGATCTTTCGTATCTAAAAGGCTATTTTCTCCCGCTTGCGGATTGCGCAGTCTGACACAGTCAGCGTGCCAGATCTACCGGACCGAGCAGGCCTGCTGGGTAGATTTAGCAGGTACCTGAGCAGATTTCCAGCTCGTACACGCTGCTGGAAGCACCGAGCTGGAGACGGCGCCGACAATGACGAGAGAGGGTGGCAGTCCGGGGGAGGAAGACGCAGCGTGAATGCGCGGCGGCGGCGTGATCTACGCGCGGCGGCCCGCCGCTGATTTGATGCCGTGTAACTCGATAGACGCGAATTACACGGGCCAAGAGGGGGAGGGGGGGGGGGAAGGCGGTCGGAGAGACGCCTCGCGTCTAAACGAGTCGTTCTCTCAATCGAGCATACCCACCACCGCCAAGCATCCGCCAGCCAGCCAGCCAGCGGCTCGTCGCGACGCTAAAACTCACGGCGGTATAATTGGGGAGGGGTATAAAAATCCGATCGCGCTCAGCCGTAATTTCGAGGATGCCTCGTGGTGGCGGCCGGCTTGTCATAAACCGGATTTACCGTCGGGGTTCGTAAAGTTTATGAGGATCGGCGAAACGGTATACTGCGCGCGCGGAAAAAGGGAGACTGCGTCGGTGCGGCGCGGCTGCCGGGGGGGGGGGTGGAGGGGGAGGGGGTCGGAGGGTAAAAAGCGTAGGAGGAAGAAGGGGTCAGAGGGAAGGTCCTGGAAAGACGGGTTCAAGGAACCGCGCGAATTGCATAAATACGTTATCGATGTATCAAGCCGCGCACGAGGATGGCGTGAGGTGAGCCCGGGAACCTGGTGCCCACGTTCAGGGAACGTTTGAGCCGGACTTGAGCCGAGCTCATGGCGAATCAGACCCGATCGCACGAATCGATATCTCGCTCCGGGAATTATTCACGTAATTATTTCCAAAGGCGCAATTTCTTCGCCCCATGACCGCGTAGAGATCCGCTCTACTTCATCCGACTCGCGACAACTCGATCTCCCGGTGCCACGGGTGTCCCTTCGATAAGGGATGAAGGGCTTGATTCTCCCGGCGCACACGCGGGCGCAAAGCGTCAATCCGTGTTGGCGCGTTTCGCGACTCCACGGCGGCGGCGACAGCGATCGCGCGTGTTGTCGGACGACGGGATCCCGTTCGGGAATTAGCCGCGGGCGTAGGAGCGGGCCTAACGTAACGCAATTAGCGAGCCGACGATTAATAACCCGCCGTTATAGACGCTGCTGTTGGACGCGCGTTGACTCTCGCATGAAATCGCGCGTACCATTCATACGTGCGAGTATATCGCTCGGCGCTCGTCTCCCTCCCGTTTCTACCCCCCTCTCCTCTACCTTGCTCTTTCCTTTATTTCTCTCGATCTCTTTCTCTCTCCCACCCTCTCCCTCTCTCCTCTCTCTCTCTCTCTCTCTCTCTCTCTCTCTCTCTCTCTCTCTCTCTCCCTCTCTCTCCCCCTTCTCGCAGATTCTTGCTCCCTTTCCCTCATGTGCGCACCTAAAACGCAGGAAAGGGAACGTAATAGCTTGGCTTGCATGATACACCGCCATTAATCCGTGTATATACCCTTCCATACTTTGGAGGAATAGACACCTCGTACGCCTCGGTTTCATAGCCGGTTCATCAGCCGGATATCTCCCCGCTCTCCCCCTCTCTCCACTCTCCCCTCTCCGCGCTCGTCCACGCTCCTCTTCCTGTCTCTTCCTTTCGCTCCCGATGATTTAATTTCGGCGTGCACTCTTCGCCACGAAGCGACTCGTGCAAGAGCTGGGCTACGCTCCTCGCCTTAAAAAAGCCGCGCGAGTATGACGTCACGACGACGATTAGAAAATTGGAGTTGTACGCTCGAGGCTTTGAATTGTTCTTTACGAAATCCGCGGAGCGAGTGTTCGACGAGGATAAGATCGAGAGGAGAATTCTGTTGGTGTGTGAAACGATGATACGAAATAGGGAGAGAGCTCTCGCGAGAGATATCCTTTGGTACTTTCGCGTGTGAAATATTTGCAGAAATTCGACAAATTTCAACGCACTCTGAAGGAAGATTTTCAATTCACTGCGAAAGAACCCGTTGCACATCTCCGAGGGAAAAATTCGGTGTTGAAAATTCTCGCCAGTCAAAATCTGCTCCCGCGAGAATCTATTTCGATTTGCTGCAATAGACTACGTGTCTACGGGTATCTCCAGACACCGACGACCGAGGTCGAAATGTTTCTATTTCCGCGTCATGCCATCCGGTCCGCTGTACATTATATTTCATCGAAATAATATACGAAAGCATCCCCGCGCGCGCGCGCGCGCGCAGCTCTCCCTTCAGACGTGACGTTCAATCGTATCGTTTCCCTGACAGACAGTTCCAATCACGGGTCGTCATTCGGTAGCACGCCCGTTTCTCTTCTGCCTGCTCATTCATCTCTCCATCTGTTCGTGCACTCACACCGACCGCCGACCGTCGATCAATCGTGAATCGTAGATGGTGCTTATGGCAGGTGAATGTATCGCGCAGATAATATCGCCGCTCGAAATGGAGTCGATATCGTTTGTAATCGCCCGGCCGTTATCGCGTCGCCGTTGTTGATTGATCCTCAACAATTTGAATCGATAACTCGCGCCGATCGGCATCTTTTTTGCGCCGTTTATGCGAATCGTTACGATGCACCGACGCTTACCGGCTCGGTTATCGTCCACGGAGGAGGAGAAGTTTAATATGCACGACATGATAGAAATTCGACACGAACGAGCTAAGGCCGCGAGGAGAATGAAGAATACTCGGGGAGCTCTTAATAAAGAGAGCGCAAGATGAAAAGTAATCTAGAGCGAGCGCCCGGCCGACGGAGATTGTTAAATGTTAGACCGGCTTCCAGAGTTCGGTCGTAACTCTCAGCCGTCAGGCGATCGCAGCCGCCACGGGAGAATTCGATCGGAGCCAACCGCGCCCGCGTCGTCGCATCGATAATTTGCCGAAACTTCGGCATTAGCGCGCAAAAGCCCGCCATGAATACCGAGCGCTTGTCTTCCATCGCGCGTCACAACATATCGCAGCGCTTCTTATTTTTGTTGTAAACGAACACGCTGCACCGGCGCACGAGTGACGCTAAGCAAGCTTAATTGCAAGCCTGCAGCTCAAGTGAGAGACAGACGCACGCGATGTGTGCAGCACACATTTCGTACGGATTCTAATAAATCCGGCGATTAAATTGCAACACGCCCGCTAGACCGAGAGAGAGAGAGAGAGAAAGAGAGAGAGAGAGAGAGAGAGAGAGAGACTCTGCTCCACTAGTCCTTACAGCACGAAGTTTCAACCGCGCAGTCCGCTGCGGGTAATCGTGAGGAATGGAAATATGGATGGCGGTAAACGGTGCGCTAAATGCAGCATAAGACACACGTACAAGCTGTGACACGCGCGACTCGCACTTCCGTTACTAGCGAGTACGACAGCGTCGCGGAATCGCTTAAATATTTCATGCGACCGTTCGTCGCTGTCGCGTGTTTTTTCTTTTTTTTTTTTTTTCTTATCCGCACGCTCTCCCCGAGCATATGGATCAGCGGCGAGATCTCGTTCGCGAAGATAGATTTCTCCGCAACGGTCGGCGAAACGAGACGATCGATCGGGAGCGCCGAGGAAGCAGGTGTGTCTCTCGCCGGCGCGATAAATACGCTCGCTCGCTCGCGCGCGCGCGCGCGAGCGAGCCGATATGCATTTAAAAAATTTCGTGCCTCCAAATGAGGCCGTAAATACGGCCTGCTCTACGTAATGAGCGTCGCCGATGAGTACTCACCTGTAGGAACATTTCGCCGTCGAGGTGATGATGGTCGTAAGCAGCGAGCGCCGCCAACTCTCTCGCCCTGTAATGCGAGTCGTGGTGTGAATTCTCCTCCTTATCCTTGTGCATCACCACTGCAACAGAATCACGTAAATCATGAGGATACGAGCTCGTTGATCGGGAGGACGCGGTAAAAATCGCTCGTTAAGTGTCTATTTGGCTAGCATTAAGGATATTTCCCGCCTATAAATTGCACTCTGATGTAACGTGATCGCAGCGCGCACATTGAAATCGATTTATGCGTCGCGCGATTTTTACGCTCTTTGAATTAATCTCGCGGTGATTCTGCAAGCGTACTGCTCCCTTGGCTCTCTCGGTGGATTTACAATAGATAGTTACATAAAAAAGAAAAAATTAATAATTTCAGAACAGGCGGAATCATCGAAATTTTAGAGGATTTTATTCTTATATATGGCCTCGAGAGGATTCCTCTAAGATTAAGAGGAAAATATTAGAAACGCATTATTCTTAAAGTTGGAGGGATTATATGTTATACGTATAATAGGAATTTTATTGATTTTAATATAAATTTCCTCTTATACCACAGATTATTTAATCTTCTCTTAAGAGGATTATTATTTATTCTTGCCGTACTTTATTCTTACTGGTTATACTGGTTAATTTGAAAAAATTATCATAATATATAGCGAAAAGTAATATATGTACTTTTTTAGCTCTGGTACTTTTCTACAATGAGCAGGCACAAGTGAAATAAAATCATCATAATAAATAAGTTTCCAATCATAGTTTTGTTATGGACTTCATAGCTACAAAGATGTTCATCATAACCAATTGTACGAAACATAGTTAAAAGAAAGAATATATTATTCAACTTCTTGCAACAGATTATAAACTGTATTTGACCAAATATGGGTAAATTATCTTCGTTATATGTTACACATACCTTCCTTAAAAAGCGCGTCAAATATTCTGACCCATGAACATATGATTATGTTTTCGTTCATGTGATAAAGGTAGAGCATGACTCAACAAAATAAGCGGACATTTAAGTCAACATATTCCTCTTCGTATAAGAGGGAAATTAATTGATACAAGAAGAAATCCTCTTGAAATAGAAGAGGAAAATAGTTAAAATAATGTCTAATAAATTTTAGATGAATGGTCCACTTTAATCGCTTGATCGAAAGAGGAATCCTTTTCCTGTAAAAGGCTTCGCTTAGAATGTGAGACTATGGGAAAAATCACTTTACAAATACAATACTTTTTTCAGGGTGTACATAAAATACATTGCGCCGTAGAGATTTTGTGACGTGATTTTTTATCATACGAATGTATCGGGAAATTTTTATGATACCGCGTACCAGCATTCATTCCGCGACGCGAATGTACGTTTCGTACGATTACGCCGGCACCGTCGTTTCTTTCCGAGCCGGTCGCGCTCCTTTCTAATGCTCCCCTCCCCCGGGAATCGAAATGGCGAAAGTGTGAAAAAAATCGAATCACTGCCGCGCGGAAAAAAACCGCCGCATCAACGCGATAATGCATGACGCCGGGCGCAAAAACGGCCGGGAAAACCTCGTCGAGAGCTCGTGCTCTGTGAAGGAAGAAAAGAGGATAATTTCGACGGTGCAATTAAATTTCAATCAAGCCGCTTCGTGTGGCGTATTCGTTCGCGAATCTTAATAAGGCACCGCTGCCTCCCACCTCGTGCCCCGCTGTTGCCCCCTTTTTTACCACGTCGCCCGCAAATCACGAGAATGATTAGAGGGCTAAGCGGCCAACCATCGGCCCGTCGTCGTCGTCGTCGTCGTCGTCGTCATCATCTTGCATCGCGCACGAACGCGAAAACGAGGACCTCGGTGGTTTCGCGCAACCAGCCGCAATCACAATCAGCTTTACGATTTCTTTATTTCGCGAACATAAACCGCGCGGTAGGCAGTTTCTTGTCGCCAACCGAGAACTTACGACGCGATTTACGATGCCCACCCCAGCGATGTTTCTTCTCTCTCTCTCTCTCTCTCTCTCTCTCTCTCTCTCTCTCTCTCTCTCTCTCTCTCTCTCTGTCTCCCTCTCATTTCCTCGAAATTATAATATTAACAACTAACAAGGTCTGAAAATCGGTCTGGCAGATCGTCGGCGACATAAATCACCGAGCGGAACGAAATGACGTAAATTGTATTAAGTTTATTACGAGGCGTGTTAAATTAATTTCGAGAGGAGAAAAAATAGAAGAGAGAGAGAGAGAGAGAGAGAGAGCGCACGAGTGCACAAGATGGGAACTTTGACACGATGATTATGGCGAGCTTCCAACGCGCTTTGAGCCAGAACAAAGGGGAGGTTTGCGGAAACACCCTGTATAGAAGGGAAGACGGGAGTGCAAAGAGTGTGGAGAAGCGAACGGTCGATTTACGGGAGGAGACGTCGCGCGAAGGATACTCATCGGCGGTTTGCATAAGCGATTGCAGATCCCGATCGGAGATTGCGACGGAGCGGCAGGAAAGGACAGCGGCGGAATTAATGCCGCGCGGAAAATGTCCCGATAAGAGCAAAGACATATTTCCGGTGCTTTGTCCGGCTCGTAATCGGCCGTCGTTCGGCCGACGACATAAATACGGTTCGTTTCATCGAAATTCGTCGCTCCCCGGCGCTGAGCGACGACGATGACGGCGGCGGCGACGGCGGCGGCGGCGGCGCCGACGACCGCCTGGGATCTACGCGAAATCGCGATTTAAAAGTCGTTAAAGTCGGCCGTAACAAACCGAGCCGTTATCAGATTTATCATATTACAGGCTGTAACGTTGGTTATTATTTGCAGATTTTCACGGAAGATTAGAGCGACGATGACGTCGGCGAAGGGCAACCGAAAGGGCGACGAGCGATGTGCGAGAGAGGTGCTGGCTGGGCAGGGCAGAGGCGAAGGGAGGGCAAACACTTTTTGCCGTAAACGCAAATTTATGTTTCGCGGCCACGATAATTAAGGCGATCGCTGTCAAAGATTATAATTTCAACGGACACTTTTATGTAGATTCGATGATGATCGATATTCGCCGTTGTCCGATGTGGAAAAGCATTCATTTCTTTTTTTCTTCTGTCATCGCGACCCAGCGAGGTCCGCGCCGAGCTTAGCGTTACTAATTCCTGCTCGCGCGCTCCGTAATTAATTACTGAACAAGTCACTCAATTCACCGGCGAGGATCGTTCGAGGAATTGCTGAATTCACCGACGCGGCGCGCACACTCGCGATACAACACACGACTCTGCGAGTCTCTCTTTCCTTCTCTCAACACAAAGATCACTCTCGAGAGCGCACGCGTCGAGCGTCGCGCGTCCTCTTCTACTCGCCGTCGGCGTGCCGTGGCGATCGCGATATCGCGGATCTATAAATCTAGATCGCCGGGAGATCTCGAGCCGGCAGCTAGGCGCTGCTTCGTCTCGCGGTCGCGCGCGACTCGAGTCGCGTCGACTTCGACGCGACCGGTTTATTATTTAGTGCGATCGTGGTCTCTCGTATGTTCTAATTACGGCGCGCATATTAAGCAGGAGGCAACAAGCAGGTGTACGGGATCGACGGCGTATTATAGGGTTCAAAAGGAAGTGTCGCTCACACATCCTGTCACGTATCGCCGCGCCTCGCCGCGCCGCGCCGCAACGTTCTCGCCGGGCGCGCTCCGTTAATCCGTTTTACGCCCGGGCCGAGATCGATCGTCCATCCGCGGGAATCCGAGGGAAGAAGGCGGGCGCGGCGCGCGTGCGTGTTTATTTTCAACGAAATTCGGCCCACTTTTGCCACGGGTGAACGTTATTTACGGCCGACGCGCGAGTTACTCCGCGCGCGCGCGCGCGCGGCGCGCAATAACGCGCGAGAATTACGGCGCGGCCCGGCGCGATGAATGAGGCAGCGAGGAGCGCGCGTTAGCGCGCGTCAGGTTTATCTGAAGATATAAATACGCAAGTGGTGTACAGCGTATACAACGTACGAGACGTTTAAAGCAAATACTGCTCGCCGCTCGCTCACGAGCGCGATATTACGTTACAGCCGAGGCTGTAAATTGTAATCGATAACGCGCATATTTCTTTCTTGTACGCTCGCTCGCGAGCCGGCGAATGAGTCCCGCGGATATTACTACTTGGGTATTAAACTTCATTTTAGAGGATTTCTTTTTGGTGCAAATGAACGTTTGTTTCGAAGCAAAGTGATGATAAGTGACACATGTTACTCAAAGTATTGTCCGTCGTTAGCTACAACTTTTTCCCATCTTTCTTCAGTGAAAGGCGGATTCCTCGGCGAAAGAACGACTCGTCTTTCGTGGTTATCCATGAATCGAGCCATTTTTTCATATCTTCTAAGGAACTGAACTGCTGGGCAGAAAGGTGCTGATCCGCATGGATCGGAACAAGTGGAAATCAGAAGGAGCAGTCTGGTGAATAGTGGTGGGTAGGGTGGAACATCCCATCCGAGCAGCTTTAGCGTCCTTCCGGTTCCAGTCCGGTTTAGCGGCGATATGTTGTCGGCCGAGCGTTGTCACGCTGGAAAATCACTGTGTCGTGTCTTTTGACGTATTCTGGTCGTTTTTCCTTCGATTCTCGGTTCAGCTGTACTAGTTGTCGTCCCCAGTAATGGTTTCTCGCCAGGTTTTAGCAGCTCATAACAGACCACACCCTTCTGATCCCACCAAATACAGAGCATTACCTTCGAACGATGGATCAGTGGAAAATCTCCACTTTTGAATCGTCTAAACCAGTACTCACAAGTTGAGATCGATGGAGCATAATCCCCATAATCTTCGGACAGCAAACGAACGACTTTCAGCTGCCGATTTTTTCAAATGGAAACAAAAAAGTAACGCTTGCCGCAAATTGCGGCATTTCGTTGGCACAAAACTCGACATATTGAATGCGCTGAAAAAAATATGTTATTTACACTTCGACCGAATGAAGTATACCGATTCTTAAGGCGTAATGACTTAAGGGCTTTTATATGAAGTCGGCTTCAGTATGAGGCCGCTGCCATTAGCTCGCTCATTACGCCATCTCTTGTAAATCTTTTAAAATTAAGTTGAATGCTCAGTTCTATTATCTCGAAGGAGGTGGAGTCATATTATGGTAATTCCGC